CGGGGCGAATCCTGAACAGGCGAATTGTGGCTTGTGATTCAATCAAGGAACGATACTTGCAGGTTACTATTCATAGATTGCTGCAGGTATCAGCTATCAACTGTCAATGATCGATTTGAAAGGACAACACTCAAGTAGATGGAATCGTGGTCCATCCATATTAACTCACCACAGAGACGTACTCGTAAAGTCGTACGTAGCCCAGTACGTAACCCTATGCAGACAGCTTATGCAGAACACACAACTTAACTCCGTACGCCAACAAACCCCTGTCTCCAAAACCCGGAGCAAGGACAAACTAGTCTACGCCCAAGACAGTACTACATACGAATACGGCCAATGCAGTGGGGTGGCTTCAGCCACAGCTACGACTACTGGGCCGTACTGACGCCGTGGCCTCTGCTAACCTTTTGGTGTAGTCTAAGTAGCGTGACGTGGCGTAGATATGGGACGGATTACCGGATTACCTTGCCCAAGGGGGGGTTGACTGCTCGGGTTTAAGATGCTTGATGTTTTGGGACGGGAGATATGGTACGGGTATGATACGGGGGCGTTTTATACGAGGTTGTAATATTGGTATCGGTAGAATAATACTCAGATATGGTCATCTAAAGTAGAGAAGCATGCAATCGTCAAGACAAATACTTCATCTGTGATCGTCCAAATGGGGCGTCAAGCCCACGAGTTCACAAAGTCTGGCTGATCAGCTCTAGTTGGAGCTTGTTGGTTGAGTTGATGTGCGCTATCGGCGATGATGATAATTTCATTTGTATCTCGAGCTTCAAGTCTATTATCAGTCATCTTAAGGCTATTCATCATGAGAACTGCAAACCATTCCTTGTGAGGTATCATTTCTGGGCAAGCTATAAAAAGCCCCGCGCAACTCTATCGGACCAATGATAGAAAATTGATGGCGTATGCAATTCTCAAGGCCCACCAGACCCGGGGATTTTGCGAATTTCATTAGTTGAGCGACTCTTTGAGTCTATGAGTAGTGATAGATACTCCTAGGTAGTTAGAAAACTAGATCCATGGCTTAGAATGAAAGCTTGAAGCAGCATTGTTTTGACTCTTCAACTGAAACGCTTAACTGCTGCGTCAACCTTCTGCGTGTCTCCCGTCTTTCTGCAGATCATTCCCGATCGTCTTTTTTCCCCAGGGGGAGGTATCGCATATATCATTGATCCCTGTACATCATTTGATTGATACAGATCCTTATTTCCCTTGCGGCATCATCTGCGACGTCTCGACACTCCCGCCGTCTTTCTCTCCGCCGGAGTCCGAATGCGAGGGTATGAAGTATTCATGACATGACCGTCCTCACTCGCATATCTGGAGGATTGGCTCCGTCATTGGCCTTTCGCTTTGTTTCATTTTTGTTAATCCTCCTGCTATGTTGTTTCGAGCGCGTCGTCGCAGAAGTCGATTCCGAGTTCAAATCCGTAAGTCTGCTATTTTATGACGTTTTCTTCAACGATAGTGGTGGCGTCTTAACGTGAGACAAGAGAACATAGCTAATCGATGATCTCCGACGCTGTCTCTAGAGGCCCGATCTATACCCGCCGGTCTTCACGGTTGAACAAAGCGAACCGAACAAGCTCAGTCCGGGGTACATCTTTCTTGGCCCGTATGAAGCAGATAATTCGGGGCCATATATCTATGATACTGAAGGGGTAGGGATTATCGTCATCTCAGTCGAGTTGTACAGTCGGGAAATCAGCTGATATCCGACAGAATTTAGTATGGAGCGGCTGGGGTAATTCGGGGCCTGGGAATGCCCATGGCATGCATGTATGCAAGTACAAGGGAGTGAACCACCTGTGCTTCTTCCAAGGAATCCAACAGAATGGGTATTGCAGGGGCCATGGCGTCATTATGGACAACCGGTATCGCATTGTCAAGACCGTCACCCCAGGAGGCGGGATTGCAGCGAGCGATATGCACGAGTTCCGGCTAGTCAATGACGGCAAGACGGCGCTGATGACAGTTTATCAACAGCGGCAGTTCGATATGAGCCTCTGGAACCTCAGAACGGGCATGGGCTGGTTGATGGAGAGCATCTTCCAGGAAATCGATGTGGAAACGAATCAGGTCCTGTTTGAATGGCGCTCTCTGGACCACGTCGATCCGTCCATGAGTTACACCTACCCGTCGTCCACGGACACGTCCGGCACCGGGTTCGAGCCACGGTCTCCGTGGGATTATTTCCATATAAACTCGGTCGATAAGAACAAGGATGGCGACTACCTGATTTCTTCGCGCCATACGAGTTGCATTTACAAGATCTCCGGCAAGGATGGCTCGGTCCTATGGCGCTTGCACGGCGCCAATCCGTCCTTCAAGAACATCAACTTTAGCTTCTCGCAGCAACACGATGCGCGCTGGCTCGGTGAGAACGCCACACATACGCTCCTGTCCCTGTACAACAACGGCTACAACGGCTACAACCAAACGCATCCCTATTCGTCCGGCATGATTATCCTCATTGACCACGTCGCCAAGACGGCGACACAGACCCGCGAATACAAGCCGCTGAATGATGACATGATCAGCTCCAGTCAGGGGAATATGCAGGTGCTGCCGAACCGGAACGCGTTTATCGGGTGGGGGAACAATGCGTATATCTCCGAGCACGACGAGCAAGGCAACCTGGTCTTTTGGGGTTACATCGACAAGGACAAAATCATGAACTACCGGGCTTTGAAGTTCGAGTGGGACGGCAACCCGACCGACGTGCCCGCTCTGTGGACCTATGCCAAAACCAACGATGGCTTCTCACCCACTACCTTCTACGTAAGCTGGAACGGCGCAACGCGCGTGAAGAACTGGCGTTTTTACGGCGCTGCAAACTCAACCGGTCCCTACGAGCTGCTGAGTCAAGTCGACAAGCAGGGATTCGAGACCACATACAGCAACTCAACCTTCTACCCCTGGTCATATGTGGAAGCAGTCGACGGCCAGGGTAGAGTCCTGGGCAAGTCCCGGAACCAGTTCACCTTCACCCCGTCGCCGGACCTGCAAGGCTATTGCGCGGATGACTTTTGCAGCAAAGCAGAAGCATACGGCTTGCCTGGCGAGGACGACCCGAAACCGTTTATTCCTCCTATGGGAATCAACTCCGTTCCTTGGGTCGACCCGGACCACCCAGAATCGCACTACAACCTGGGACAACCCGGTGCAGCAGCCCCTTCATCCGCTCCGCAAGCTGGCAAGGGGGTATATGGTAAGTTCTTGCTTGCAACTGTGTCATTTGGACTAGCTGCTGACTATATCTTAGAACAAACTGGATGGATCGTTCCAGTGACCGCGGTGGCCCTCGCGGCGATCGGGGTGTTTTTAATCCTTCGGGTCAGCCGCCGAAAGCGACCTCTGCAGCGAGCAAAAGAGCGCGGCTCATCCGAGTCCTTAAACGAGCATGAAGCAAAGGCTTCAACCGGTGCAGCTGGATTGCGTTGGTGGGACTGGCGACGATGGATCGACTCGCAAGCCGAACCACATCATTACTTTCCGTTATCGGAACAGAGGCCGCATAGGCAGGCGGATTCATGATCCTCATTTAGATAGATACCCAGTATATAACGGAATTAATGGTATAATTGTACTTATATTCATCGATTCATCGCAAAATCAGGACCAACAGCGTACGGTACAATACACTTTGCCGAAAAGACACCTTGTCACAAAATAACAATACACAAACCGAACAAAGAGTAGTCCGGGATTACGTATGGGATACTCGAACTGACTGACTCGCGCACTAAAAGCCAACGAATGGAGACACTAGTCTACCTGCGGGCAGATAGAGGTTGCAGCGTATACGTAAGTCCATACGTAGTCTAACTGTCTGCTTTCTTACGAGGAACTACGAATCAAAATAGACCATGATGGAGGTTATTTGACTTGACAATTCGAAGATGGAAGCTTCACTGCGCAGAATGGTAGTCAAGGGTACAACACTGTTGAAGTTGAAACACTGATGGAAATTGTATGGTGCTGCGTGGTGATCATAGTCTGTAACAGATAGAAAACCCAAATAGGGTATGTTCTCACCTGACCTGCCAAGCCTCTGCTCCGTTAGTTTGATCCATGGAACGAGTCATTCAGGAACCAGAGACGGGACGAAAGAAGGAGATTATGAACCTGCCTAAAGCAGCAACTCCACCCAAGTCGCCAAACAACTTCATATGCCATGGGCCATGGGCCTTATGTTGATCTTTTTACAAAATACTGGATCCATCCGGCCATCCGTCGCCCATCTTCTTGGCATCCGGGTCTTTTTTCTTTTTTTCTTTAATTTGTTTTTTTACTCTATTTCTGGCTAAATTGAATATAATTAGTGCAATGAGTCGGGTAATTTGCTGTTACAGATTCAATACAGTTGCTGTATAAGGAGGCCAGGTTTCATCATGGATTCAGATTCATTACCTTAGCCACAGATGTATCTGCTCTCTAGGTGGTCAGTAAGTATGTAAATGTCAACAGCAGCATCAGCATTAGCATCATATATCTACTATGAAAGCATTACTCATAAGTTATTAACATTATGTGGTTAGTGGACTGTGGATAACTCTATCTAGATTTCTGGGTTACTCCGACTTCCGTTCTCTGTACAGTAAGGATTGTTATGGTAGTGATGATTGACGTCCGTTTCATCCTGGGCTTCTTGGAGGACATTGTGGTCAATGGTGATTAGTCCCCCTCCTTAAACAGTCGTTCTTTGCTATCCCTTTTCTTGTAATATTATCTGGTTGCTTTTCAATTGTCACCTGTCCTGTCTAGTCTATCTCTCTCTGATTCAGACTATCTATCGTTCATGTTCTGTCTTGAATCGTCGTCATCACAAGCACTGCGCCCCTGGGCCCCTCTCCTACTGGCGTAACCATTTTTGCTTCGGCTTATCCTATTCCTTCTGTTAAGTTACTACTACTTATAATCCTCAGCCTGTTGACGTAGTCTCAGGTCGCCTGCATTGGCGCCGTATCGGATGAACGACGCCCTCGATGCCTGTGACGGTCCAGAAAAGAGCTTCCCAGGGTAGCCGGCGGCCTTCCGTGACCAGCGTTTCGTCCTCCACCCCAATCACTCCAAGTTTTACCACCTCTTTTACTACCACTACTAATAATCATTATCCTCACCAACAACAACATCGGGATGCCCGTCATACCCGGGCAACTTCTTGGACTTCCGGTCACGATCAAGGCGGCGAACCTTCCTTTGCCGATTACCCTTCCTCTGCGTCTCACTCACGGCGCCGGCGCGAATCCAACCTCTCTCTCGCAGATCTCACCGAGGGCTCTTCCCCCTCTTCCTCGCTCTCCTTCGACCACCCCAATATGGCTATGAAGACCACTTCGTCAGAATGGAATCCAGGTCATGCCCGCAGTCGCTCCCAAAGTATGGCACAGATGAATGCCTCCCAAACTCATTCCACCGGCGCCCCCGCTCCCCGCCCCGGGCCCGTCACTTGGATGTCCCTGCCTAAAAAGAAACAATTGGCCCTCCTGGGTCTCTGTCGCGTCTTCGACTTCTTACAGATCGCCTCGCTACAAGCGTACATGTTCTACCAGCTCAAATCCTTCGACGAAACCCTCTCCGACTCCGATGTCTCCACACAGGCTGGTATCCTCCAAGGCGCATTTACTGCCGCGCAGTTCGCGACAGCAATACCATGGGGTCGAGTGGCCGATGCGGATTGGGGCGGCCGCAAATTCGTACTGTTGGTCGGGCTGGTAGGCACGGCGGTGTCCTGCCTGGGAGTCGCATTTTCGACGTCGTTCGCGCAGGCCGTGTTCTGGCGTTCGTTTGGCGGTGCCATTAATGGGACGGTGGGCATTATCCGCACAATGATTGCAGAGAATGTCAAGGAGAAGAAGTACCATTCGCGCGCTTTCTTGATTCTACCCATTGGGTTTAATATCGCTGCTTTATTTGGCCCAGGTGAGTCTTGCCCCAATAATCTTGCTTGCGATTGACACTGACGATTACAGTCATGGGAGGTATGCTTGCCGATCCGGTCAAGAGTTACCCCAGACTGTTCGGGCCCAATTCCTCCTTTGGAGGTGCTTCGGGTGTGCAGTGGCTCATGACATATCCCTATGCTTTGCCCATGCTGGCCAATGCTCTTTTCCTGTCATTCTGCGCTATGTGTGTCGCAATGGGTCTTGAGGAGGTATGAATCTTTACCCTGAAGCTGCGAGGATTCCACTAACCCAACTAGACTTCACAAGCCTGCAAGGGAAAGCCTGGCCTGGGCGCCTTCGCGATGAAGCTTTTAGCCCGTGGGTTGAAGGCTGTCGTTCCGTCTTCGTCGCCCATATATTCCAGACTTCCATTCTCCGACTATGATGAGGAGGGTCCCCTGCTGAGCCGATCAAGCGATCCTACCGAAAGCTACGAGCTTGAAGAGAAGGCGGCCAAACCTACGAGGCTCGCTCGCGTGTTACCGTTCCGACGAATCTGGACAAAGAATGTCCTGTGCACTCTTCTTGCCCAGGCCTTTTTCGACTTCCAGATGGGGTATGTATCAATATCTCCCGATATAGCTCGCACCATTACTGACGATTGCCAGTGCCTTCAACAATCTATGGTTGCTTTTCCTATCCACCCCTCGCTACGATTCCAGCGACCCTGCCAGTCCCGTTCAGAGACTGCCCTTCATTTTCACCGGCGGCTTGGGTATGTTGCCTCAGAGTGTTGGCTTCGCCACAGCTATCCTCGGGGTCATCGGCATGCTCCTCCAATTCACCATCTACCCTGCAATCAACGGCCGCCTGGGCACAGCCAAGAGCTACCAATATTTCCTGTCGCTCTTTCCTCTGGCCTATGCTTTCGCCCCTTACATTGCTCTTGCGCCGTCGTCCGCGCCCCCTCCAGGGCAGGCCAACGGGCCCTGGGTGTGGTTCTCCATCATTGTCGTCCTGTTCCTGCAAGTCAGCGCTCGAACATTCACACTCCCGACATCCATTATCCTTCTGAACAATTGCTCACCGCACCCTTCGGTGCTCGGTACGATTCACGGTATCGGACAGTCAGTATCTTCGGCGTTCCGTACCATCGGGCCTATCTTTTCCGGAGCCTGGTACGGTTACGGTCTGGAGATCGGCATGGTCGGCTTCGCCTGGTGGCTAATCGCTCTTGTGTCCATCTTTGGATGCATAGCAGCGATCTTTGTTTATGAAGGCTCCGGCCATGAGATTCTGCTCCCGGGAGAAGAAGAGGACTTCCGGTAATATTTTTTGCCTTGTTTATGAACCTTTCGTTTCGATTTTCCTTGTCCTGTACATATGTTTCGGCACATGCATAGTCCGGTGTCTGTGGGGTGACCTCTTTCTTGCTCATATTTTCTCTGCATCTCGCTGGGTAGATCGCCTGACTGGTGCATCATCAAGTGGGTTGGCTTTGTTGCTTCATTGTCTGATACTATCTTTGTTGCTTTATGTCGTGGGCATTCTTCGCTTCTCTGTCTCATATGGTTGGGATTTTCTCGTTGGCTTTGGGCCTCTCATGCATGATACGGCAAAAGCACATATTCATTTGGAGCGGAAGGGCTAGATCTTATAGACGACTGTATCTAGATAGATGCAATAATAAATCCGTCAGATATCACTCGCAGTGGTACAGCGCTGGAGCGTATGGCTACAAATGTAGAAAGCCTCAAAGCCGACGGCTCGTCAACAATCATCAATCATTATTAAACGTGAATTCTCGCTGAACAAATGAATCAAGGTCATAATCACCGTCGCAGTGCCGCAAACCGTCGAGTCAACTCATCCAATTCCGGTACCCCCCCAGAACCACCCGCATTCCCGTTCCGCGCCCTGGGAGGCCCCTCAGCCTGCGTCTCGGACTGGGTCTCGCTGCCGGGGACCTTGACACGCGGATTGGGGTTATCTGACCGCGGCCCCGGCGGCGCAACACTGACGGGACTCTTGACCGATTGGAAACCCCGGGGCGGCGTCGCCTTATTCAACTCCGAGGTCTCGGAAGCGCGCCGCGCCTCAGCCATGTTGACCGGCCGGGTCGGCGTGGAGGGGACGGCAGCGTCACCATCGCCATCGCCATCACCAGACTGGTCAGCATCGCCTGGCTGATCGCCGATAAACTCCGGAGGTGCCTCGCCGAGCTCGCTCTCGCCCTGGCTCTGGGCCCGCGCCCCCCACGAGCTCCCATACGCCTTTGCAATTTCCCGGAGATAGCTCTCGACGAGCTCCTGCGCCGGCGGCTTCACGCGCAGCCCCTTGACCAGCCGCTCCGGCACCTTCACGTCAACCAGCTTGTTGTCCTGCGCCAGCGTCATGAACTCCTTGCCCCAGCGCTCGGCGAGCATGCCGCGCAGCATGTTCAGCTCGCGGACGTCGTGCGGGAAGCGCGGCCACGCGTAGAAGATTACAGCGGCGGCTTCGTCGAGCGCCGCGTCGATGTAGCTCGGGGTCTGTTCCTCGTCGTTCTCGTCGGCGGCCTCCTCCGCCTCGGTCTTCCGGCCTCGGGCCGGCGTACTTTCTGAGATATTTGGGGTCTGCTTCTTCGACCCGCCCCCTGCCCAAAGTGAAAACCCCAGGAATGACTTGGATGCTGCGTCGGACGCACCCTGAGCGTGAGCTTGAGGGTGAGAGTGTCCGTGGCCCTGCGCCCCCATCTCCGCTTTCAGGGCTTCCTTGGCGCGACTCCGCGCGCGGGCGCCCTTCTCCCCAAACGCGAGCTGATCGAGGACATTGGCGCGCGCGAGGAGCAGCTCGCAGTATAGCTCGACCATCTCCATGACCTCGACGGCAATGTCGGTTGCGATGACATTCTCGACGCGGATGCGGGCGGAGGACTCGCGGCCTTCGTCGAGGAGGGTGGCGAGCTCGCGGCGCTGGATGACGGACGACGCGGTGTCCTTTTTCTGAAGGAGGCGGAGGCGCGGAATGAGGAGGCGGAGGGTGGAGGTTAGTTTGGTCTTTGATGCTGTGTTAGTGTTTGTATCTTCTCATTCTTGGAGGTGTGGTTGTGGTTGTGGTTGATAGAGTGGGATGTGCGGGGTAGGTCTGAGATACAGTGTCTTTGTTTATAACACAGAGTTCTGGGTTGAAAAGCGTGAGTGTGATTTCTTTGATAAGACTTACTGTTTGTACTGAAGGAGGCATTGCGAGATGAGATATCGCTGATCTGGTTGTGTTGGGCCTGGATGGGCTGATGTCAAGGCTGGAAGAGTCAAGAGTCACTGCCGATAAGTTGATAAGAGACGGCTGCCTCCACTCCTGGATATCTACTCCAAGGCATCCACAAAAAGACATCCATTACCTACTGCAGTTTGATGGACAAGCCATTAATAGACCTCATCATAATGGATCATACACAGAGAGGTATGTTCAAGTCCCGCATTCTGCTCATACATGCATACAGTCGAGATCACTAACGTCGTAAGCTTGACCGGTGATACCGCTCGAATCGGGAGTCTATTTGGCTAACTGGCTATTGCACCTTCGGGCGTTTCTGAAGCTCCAGGGGAGAGAGCATGCTGTTTACAATATCCCGCGAAATCGCGGACCATTTGGTTGCTTTGCCGTTGTGAGTGCAGGACAACCGCAGCGACCCATCGTCCTCAAGGACAATGCAAAGCCACTTCACGCCCGTGACAGCGCCTCAGAAAGTCCAATCGGGGATTATTCCCAATGTCCGATTGTAGACGCAGGAACTAATCAGTTTTCATTGCCTTTGGGCCAATTAGGCTTCACACAGCGCCAGTCTGATAAGACATCAAGGAGATTCAGGTCAGGATGTGGAAATAGAACTCGGCGACGAGTAGAAAGAGACAAGAGTCCACGCCTTCGCCATCTGTCAGAACCCAATACCGCTAGGCCAAAACAGTGTCCAGACAGTGTACTTGTTGGTATCCGATATTGAGCATCCCTGTTGACGACGGAGTTACAGCTTCATCCGTTATCTCCGAGGGTTTTGTCTGTAAGGTGCTTAAGTCCAGGTTCAGCCCCTGCAGTACTGCCTGGATGTCATTGACCTAATTGACTGCAACATCTTCATCATGGCGTCTAGAAAACTCACCTGGCTCATCACCGGTTGCTCCTCCGGTTTTGGTCTCTCACTCACACGCGCCGCCCAGGCGGGCGGCCACAAGGTCATTGCTACCTCCCGCAACCCTTCTCGCACCCCGGAGCTGGTCGCAGAAATTGAAAGCAAAGGGGGCAAATGGGTGCAGCTGGATGTCGACAGCACCCAGAGTGGCGAAGTGATCACGGAGCTCGAAAAAGGCGGCGAGCAGATCGATGTCCTGGTCAACAACGCCGGCTACTCCATCTATGCACCTATCGAGACCGTGACTGAGGAGGAGATGCGCTCGCAGATGGAGACAATGTACTTTGGCCCGCTGCGTCTGATCCGCGCGGTTCTGCCTCATATGCGCCAGCGCCGGTCCGGCGTGATTGTCAACATGAGCAGTGGTGCCTCGCTCGATGGGATTCCCACGATGGGCGTCTATGCAGGTGCTAAGGCTGGTTTGGATGGTATACATTTTCTCCTCGAAATGTTTCCAAGGACCAACAACTAACTGTATAGCTCTCACCAAAATCCTCGCCAAAGAGGTTGCGCCGTTCAGCATCCGCACCCTGACCGTCGTGCTTGGGACATTCAACACCAACATGCCCAACTCAGTCGTCCTAGGCAAGACTCCTCTACCTGAAGACTACAAGGGCACCTTTACCGAGCAGGTCCAAGACCTTCTGGTGAGCGGGAAGATCAAGCCCAACGGTGACAAGGACAAGGCCATGCAGGCCGTGTACCAAGTGGTTGTCGGCGAGGGCGTAGGAGAAGGCCATGAGACGGAGAAATTGCTGCCTTTGGGAAGCGACATGACTCCTCGTCTCAAAGGAGTGCAGGACTATCTCGGCCATGCCCTGGAGGTGTTTGGTTCCGTGACTAACAGCGTCGATGTGGATAAATAGCGTACCGTTAGGATAGGATAATCTATTACTGTCCAGCCCTTGGTGTATAGTGATTTGCTCTCGGTATTCTGCCCCTGACTCTAGCTAGTATGCGGCGGTTAAGAAACATCAAATCAAGTATGCAGGGCGCAGATCCCGAAGAATGAGGTATGATTTCTAAAGAATGACAGCCATCAAGATGTTCTTTAAAATATGACATAATCCTTACACACGTTTGTGACTTTTTACAAGCTCTTCTTGTATACACCCATCGTCAGTCTCCTGGGCTAGAATCTACCTTGGAGAAGAATAACATGGATATATGCAAATGTCACATTGCTCCAGCCTATCATGAACTAGCGAATAATAGACATTATCAAAAATCAGCTATCAGCTCACTATCCAATCTCAGAATGGTATGTTCAAGCCCCATCGTCAATTTCAATCGGCAACAGCATATCAGATCATGCAATACAAATCCCCAAGTCAAAAAGGAAACTGCTGAGGAGCAGAACAGAGCAGACGAGCGAAGAATATATAAAATAATATAGGCAGGTGTCAAAGGTCGTCAATATACAGATAACGTCAGTCGTCAAGAATGGTATAGTATGGTATGGTATGGTTCAATAGAACCAGGGTATCCCGAAGAAACGAAAAAAAGAATTAGAAAGTTCGAGGCACCGAAGAGAGAAGTTGCGAAAATGCTAGTCCACGGCTAAGCTGGAGCTGGTGACAGCAATAGGTAGTAGCAGGAGCTACTACAGGTTGATCATGATCGCCGCGACGGCGCCCATGCCCAGAGTCAGCACGGAGAAGGCAACGTGGGCGGCGCTGCCCTCCTTCTCCTTTTCCTTGGAAGCAGGGGTGGGAGTGGCCGTGGCTTGTGCCGGGCCAGCCGTTTCGGCTGCCATGGCCTCCACTGAGACTGACTGCTCGACGAACACGTGAGGCTTGTACGTGTACGAGAATGCACCGGATTCCGAAGCCTGTCCAGCGCTGGATGCCTTGGCCGATGAGGTGGGGTCGCTGCTGGAGGAGGGGGTGACGGTGGCGCTCGAGCTCGAGTCTGTGTCAGTGGGTTCTGATGAAGATGACGAGGCAGGAGTCGACGTGCTGGAGGATGCTGTGCTGGAGGAGGAGGTTGTGGTGCTCGAGCTGGGTTGGGAGGTCGTGGAGGGTGGCGCGGTTGTGGAGTGGGAATCGCCATTGCCGCTGCCGCTGCCGCCGCCGGACTTTTCGAAGACAACAACGTTGGCCTTTTCCCCCTTGGGGACCGTCACCACACAGAAGGTGGCGCCTCCGGCTCCAACGGCGGTGCTACCGATCATCTCGTTGACCGCGTTCACCGCGGGGTCGATCTTGCATGGAAGGCCGTTGCAACCACCGCCCTCGCACTCGATCTCGACCCCAAAGTCTGGGACGACGTCGCGGAAAGGCGTGGTGGGCTCCAGATAGATGGGGTTCCATCCGATCTTCACGAACGTATTGCCGTCTCCGTCGGTGTTTGCGCCAGCAACATAAGGCGACCAGTTACCCAGGGGGCTGGCAGAAGTACCCCAGACACAAGCGGTCTCGGTGTCATAGCCAGGAGGGTTGATATAGAAGCTGACAACGGTCAATACGGATAAGAGTATCATCGCTGAATGCACTTACTGAGCGGCGGTTTCACACCAGTAGCTGAGGTCAGGCACGGCAAGAGTAGCAACGTCCTGGACCAGCGTGGGAATCAACATGGCCTCGTTTCCAGGCAGCACAGTCTGGCAGATCGCAACATGCTTGCTGCACTTATTCTTCGCGCCCACGGCACCCGTGCCATCCTGGCAATACGGCTTGTCGGGGAACGGCTTCTTGATCTGACCGTCCTTGTCGCAATAGAGACCGCCATTCTAGCACACGCAGCACCGTCAGAATCTTCCCGTCGGCACGGAGCTAGCGACGGAAAAAACTCACCATGGACATGGGGTACGAATACGAGGTCGCTTCGGGGTCCCACTGCATCGACACCTGGCCGGGGGGACAAGCGTACGGGCAGTAATTGCCAGGCTCGCAGGACTGATCGGGGCTCATCGCCCATCCGGCGTTCTTCATGTTCGGAGTCACAGCGACTAAACCGGCATCGGTGGGGAACTGGCACTTCCCTCCTCTCTTCTCCAATGGCGCTCCAACTTCAGCAACGGAGTGGACGGCGCCGTGGTCATGTCTCAAATGGTGCAGATGCGCATGCTTGGATGCCTCGACGCTGGCGACGAACCACAGCAGCGCAGATGCGCCGGAAACCATGTCGAATCTCATCCTGACGACTGTCGTTCCTGTATCTCTCCCTTATCAAAGTGATGTTGCGGATTTCGAAGTCGAAGTGAAGTCGAACTCCACACTCCGGAAACGAAAGACTAGGGTCAGTAAAATCGCAAATATAACGAGCGACTACTCCGAAGAGTGAAAAGGAAGGGAGCCACCACCGAATAAGGAGAGAGAGGGGATGGATGGATAGAGAAAGGAGGAAAACGGGGAAATGAACGCGAGTGAGGAAAAGGGACCAGCCTCAAGTCCAACACGAGCACTACTGTGGACTAGGCTATTAGCCCATTTTCGCGCCAACTCCAGACCCCATGAGTCGGAATTGACTCTGTTGGCGCTACGCTAGCACTCGTCAGCAGCGAATGAATCGTGGGACGCCCCATATATGAAGCAACGGACTTCCTGATTGGGAAAATATGGAGGCTATTTGAAGTCTATGCCTATTCAGGTTGACTGGGCCGATTCTACGTGCCAATCACAAGCTGTTGTGCCCCGGTGGTTCATGCCCCACTAGACCGAGTGGAGTTAGGCGAGGGAGCTTAGTACAATGCTAGTGGCCAATCAGAACCAATGCGTCCCTGAAGCTACAGGGTCTGTCCCTGAGCGTGATCCTGTCCTGATCCCACGAACGCTGCTACTTTCATTCACCATCGTTGTATGGAGTACTCCGTAGATACCCCGGTTATTACAGAGTACAGCTATTTATTTAACCGTACCTTAGTCGCTCCCACATCTGTATACCACACAGCTTGATCAATTGAATAACTGCGCTGTGTACTCTTCTTTCCAACATCACCTCTGGCAGAGAGTAGTCTACAAGAAATAAGACTTTTCCTTTCTGCAGGGCCTAGACTTGTCAATCTCAGTGATCAGCAGGTATACTGACAGTTTTACTAACAGGCACCATTAAACTTAGTGGACATTATTCAAGTTTTTCTTTGTAACCGGACTCTACTTCAGCTGCGGTTTGCGAAAAGGGGGCCAATCAGATGGTAGGATTCTGGGGCACGAACTACCTACTCCCCGAGTTTTCAATTGATCTGACATGTCTCCGTGGTCAAAGCGGTTTGGCCTTCCGCCCTAACTAAATACTATGTGAAAAGAACACCTCGGACGAGCATTCTCGAGCTCTTTAGAAAGTAGTGGTTGCTGATTTGCTCGTGTTTGGTGGTATATTCCAGGTGAGTTGCATCCCAGATAGTGTGCTACAGCACGCCAAGGAGGCCATGGAGCGATGGAACAGCTTCCGGAGCTAAGCACGGATACATGATAATGTAGAGTGAGTATCACTCCCCAGTCTGTTCCTCAATCTCCTTCCATCCATCATACGCCACCGTATCCTCCCCCGCCCCGCTTCTCCATCCCCATGCAACACAATAGTGCCGCGCGAGCAACTGCCACTCCTCGACCTCATCCAGCATCTCCAATCCAGCAACCCGCTCCTTCTCCGCCTCACTCACCCACCGCTCCCAGATGAAATCAATGTCCGCCGCCGCTTGTCCGCTATCAAGCCCGTGCTCCCGTAACCGTCTCCGTTGAGCCTCTAGCGACGCATACTCGTGCAATGTCTGCAGCTGGATCCCGCGCGTCGCGAGGTTGGCGACCATCGTTCGTCCAAAGGCGTCGTCTGGTCGGATGGGCTCGTAGATAATTAAACCCAATGGCACACTCGCCGGGAAAAGGGCCTTAGTAAAGTATTCGACGACATCGGTCGCATCGCGGGGTGAGAGGTATACAAGGCAGCATTCTGAGATGAGTAACGTGGGGAGTGTTGGATCGACACCCTGTAGCGGACAGGGTGGTTGATCCTTCTCCGTCGGATTGGGTGATGATGGGCTTCGCGACGTGGTTGCTGACGATGATGCTGCTAGTGTTCGGAGATCAACAGGATGGAGGTGGTATGTCGGCGAGTGCAATGCGTCGCCGGAGTCGGAGATGGATACATTTTCGGCACTCCCAATTCCCAGTGTCCGTTGTAAGAGAGGTGCCGCGCGGATGAACTTGATCTTCGCGGCAGTGTTGGCGGAGAAGTCAATCTCGTGATAGATCAGGTCTGGACTTGAGGCCAACGTGCGAGAGGAAAGCAACCGGAAGATGCGCGTGTCAGATCCTGCGCCTAGTGAGATGATCTGCTTTTTCGTCTCTGAAGGGCCTTCCAAGAATCGCGCAACGAGTCGGTCGATGGCAGTGGTGCGGACGTAGGTGCCTGTTGTACGGCTTCAGGTTAGGTCTGCAGAAAGGTACAATGACTGCATTGTAGAAGAGTTTACCTCTGTTGATTATGGGAAGCCTTCTTGTTTCTGACCCCGGAGGCGTCAATGCCCTCGCAAAAGGATCATCGAGATACCCAATTTCCACCGCGCTCAACCGGGAGACGCTGGCGTCATTGTCTGTCCCTTGTACGACACGGTCCTGGGCTGCTATTCCCCGTGACCCATGTCTTTCTTCGCCTGGTGTGCCTGTGCCAAATCCTCCACGGCCTCTAAGACGCCCTCGACCTCCACCGCGTCGGAGTGTGTTCAGATTGGGTATCTGAGAAGCCGACATGTCGGAGAGATCTTTACGACGCGAATGGGGAAGCTCTGGGCGGTGATGATGATATTGGCGGGGTTGTTCGGTCCCCGCCACACTGGGTTGGATCCACCACCCACTGGACCGCCGACGAAAGTTACTAGTTGACTGTTTCGAGGATTGATTTGAGACTGGCAGAATTAATGGAGGAGTCAAGGGCAGAATAGCTATCCATGCAATGTTTTATTTATACCAATCATCGCTTCGATCGTCACCTGTCTATATCCCCGCGCGACGCCGTCTATGCTATGTAAGAACCCACGATCCTATCTATACATATACAAAGTTGTTGCGGCACAGAGGGCAGGTACTTTGGTTGCTGCTCTTGAACCAGCGGAAGAGACACACCGAGTGGAAGGTGTTCTTGCAAGTGGCGCATCTCTTATTCGGCGTCTGCATGTCCGTCGAGATCACCGAGTAACAGATGGCACATTCGCTCTGGCCCTTCAAGGCGCCCTGCACGTTCTTGCGGAAAGCCATCAGTCCGTCCACAATGTTGCCGTTGGAGAACATGATCACACCCTGAATGGTGAGCAGCCAGCTCTTCCACTTCCTCTCGTCGACCAGCACTCGGCTCCGCCCCACGACGAGGGCAGGCTGCAATGGATATGCTGGAGGAAGGGAGATCGACAGCGCAACCGGAGGTGACTCTTCATCAACAGGGATGCTCGCGATGATCTCCGCGGTCTTGGGAGAAATCTTCACTGAAAGCGCACGCTCTTCGTTTGGATCTTGCGTGGCCATCCACTCGTCCACCCCTTTGAGAGAGTCTTCGATGATCAAAGGCGAGATCTCAAATAGTCGTCAGTAACGCTATTTCAAGGCAAAGTATATCACAAAAAAGACTTACAAATCTCTCCGTCCACGCCTCAACAGGCCCTTTTATGCGCTTCTTTGCGTCCAGCCACCAGTTCTTCGTCATATTGCCAAGGTGCTTCAAGCACAGAAAGTATAAGTGAACCAAAAGCCATTGGATCTCTTTCTCTTGAGTCTCGGATTGATCAGGTTCAAAGGAGCGAATGTCAAACTTCGAAGCATCCACCAGTTTGTTGTGGGACTGCTGAAGGAAGTCAAACATGAACTCTAACAATGGACCAAGGCTATCGTTGTCCTTGATGCTGGCAACATATTGCTCCTGAAGCGGGAGAGACTATTGAATGAGAATTAGCAACGGCCTGGTTGTGTACTCGAAAGCTTGTGGACACATACCGCGTTGACAAAGTGGTCAAATACGACTTTCCAGCTCAGCAAATAAGATCTTATACTGGTCCAGATCTTGTCATCGCCATCCGCAAGAGTGATCGATTCCATCGTGGGGGCTTCAAGTAGCAAAGACATGAGCTCATCAGGAAGCCTGACCACAGACTTGGATAATGCCACATCAAATGAGACTTGCTCTTGCACTGATGGGATATAACGGTGCAGGAGCGTAAAAGCTGCACGTTGGATAACTCGACTCTCAGCTGTCAAGAGATGGAACATCCTACTCGCGTCTTCGAGGCTCTCGACAGGCATCAACTTAATCAAGCGGCATAGCACTTCAACGGTAACATCCCGGGGCTGATGGAAAGCTATGGTGTAGTCTTCTCAAAGTCAGTCCGTTGCACATCTCAATGTGAAGGACGCATTCTAGCTCACCGAATTTTGTAAGTGTTGAGACTAAGCCGTTGAAAAGGACCGTCTTGCGTTCTGACCAGGCGTCTTTGACATCATCATTGCTGTCTTCTTCAGCAACGATTGACCTCAGGCTTGCGAAAAGTCTGAAGGAAGCAAGAAGTAGGGGGAGAGCTTCATCGCCCCCGCTAGTCTCGCGCCAAACTGTGCTGAGAGCTTCCATGCAATCTTCCCAATGCGATCCATAGATCTCATTCAGGCAAGGAAGGACAGAGGTCAGGGTATGCAGGATCTCGGCTTTAATATTGAGCGGCAAGTCCTCGGACTGGAGACATTGTATGAGATGCTTGACAAGGAAGACTAGACGCTGAGTCGGAATGGTTGACGCCACGTTTGTTTCCCCCGCAAGAAGAAGATTAAGCAAAGACAGTTTTCGGAGACCTTGACACGCATCAGTAGAGTCACCAAGGGATGATCCTAGTAGCAGCCTACCTTCCTTCTTCTCATCTTGAGGCTTCAAGCCCGTAGAGTCTGCAACCAGCTCATTGCACAGCCGGTTGCCGGTCGGATTTCCTAAGATGGATTCCCGTAAGACTGCAACCCAGGATGCCGATCGGATCGCATTCGCGCTTCGCACTTCCCTGCAGATTTTGGTGATATCCTCTGTGGATTTACTCTTGTTAGCGGAGTCGATGCTGTTCATCAGCCTGACAAAGGCTTCCCCAATTCGGTAGTCCGTCGGAGAGGTATTGTTTAAAGCTTCGAGTTTGTTCTGCCAGAAGGACAGGATCGTCGAGGCGATTGTCGCATCTCTTTCAGATGGACGGCCGTCTGAGCGCGTCCACTGGTTTATCAATTTGCGGCCATCGTAAACAATCTCCAAGTATTCTTCTCGTTGGTCTGAGTGCGTTAATCCAGTAATACCGTTGCAATTTTCAATGCTCAAATCGTCATCAATCAGCTGTACAGCCAAGGGTATGTAGTGAAACAGTGTCTCCTGCTCCCCTGCCGACAAATTGCCCGTTATATCGAACGATGAAAGAACACGGATGGTGAAGTATGCGAGTCGGAACGCGGACGAACAACCACTGGAATCACGGGGAATAGTGCGGTACTGCTCCTTAAGTGTATCTGATACCTCAGGGTTTACTAGATAAACAGTCCCGCCAAGCGGACTTGTGATAGCTGTCGATGGGCGAGGAGGAAGCTCCAGGAACGGTCGCAAGGCTGACTCCCACGTTTGATGAGAGGGCAAGATGTCTTTAGCGATGGAACGGGCCTCCGGGTCAGCGGCACGAAGTAAGTCTTCTGCTATGCTTAGCAGAGATCCAATCCTTGAAAGATGTTAGTTTAACTGGATATCCTTTTATCCTCAGCTCAGAACTTACGAAAGTGATTCCTCATTGACGTGATCGAAATTGTACTGCAAGATCTCAAAGCTCGACTTGGCGCTCGTCTCACCGACCCCCATCTCTTTGAATTTTGTTAGCACTGACTCTGCGAGACTGGTCACTTCCTCGTCAGAAGTTTCTGCCAGAAACAGAAGCTTTCCAGCTAATTTTGATCCGTGGGCTCCGGCCTGAAATTTGCTGAGCGCATCCGGGACAGATTTTGCAATCTGAGACAGCCCATGTAGCGCTTCAAAAACCTTCGTTGGCTCAGACAATGAATCAACAATAGACAAGAAAATCGAGTCTGTTAGTTCGCCGTGTGATGTCTGGTTCAGAAGTGCCGCGATCACGATTGGCCAGTGGAATCGGCTACCTCTGCAAGCTTGGTCCAAAGCCCGTTTGATCAATGAGTCAAGACCTGTTTTGTCATGCACTTCTTTGAAGTCGAGAGTTGAAAGTAGCTTCTGGACAGCATGTGTATTTGATTGCTCCGGTTCGGATTCCGCCACTCGTTCTACCACTTTCTCAAAGCTAGAGCCGAATCCGTCCCAAGAACGACAGGACAAGATGACTGATATGAGGCGGTCAGCCGATGGCGAGGACAACAATTCGGGAGCATCATTCTGAACAAAATCCGCCAACTCTCGAGATTGCTGTGCAATATCTGCAGCGTTGCGGATCATCTCTTCAACGACCGCTGCAGCAGCATATGGCTTGCCATTCCGAGAGCGCAATACTTGCAAGCAATTGTCCAGAAGTGGCAAGTTTGTCTTGCCAATAATGCTGGACACGGAAGCTTTCGCCTCAGTATCGGCTACACTTGCAAGCACTGAAGCCTCCAGAGCAAAGAGTCGTCCAGCTTGCGCACATACAGCATCTTGTGACGATCTGAACTCCTTTGACTGCTCTGGAGCGGATAGTTTGACGGTTTCGAGCAGACCATCGGCTAGTTCGGTCCACAGCCGCTGGAGTTCGCTATCATACTGGCTTTTAGCTAACGCGACAGAATACTCTGTGCAGAGAGCTACAGCATTCTGATTCGGGAGTGTCCATTGCGGCGCATTTTGTTCGGCTCTCACGTGTTGAATGACTAAAGGAGATAGCCTTGTGCGCAAAAAAGTGTCCCTATCGCTCTCGGGCAGTGAACTCGCTAGCCAAACGCCTGTCTCAATGTAAGACTTCCAACCCGCAGCTTGATTTTGCCGCGGCTCTTCTCTTGAGTTCAATCCAAGTTGAAACGCCTCCGTCAACAAAGTTGCACTCGATAGCCCAATCATGCCGTCAGTAGATGCCTGCGGATCAGTTTTCGCCAGCACTTCCGCAGGTATAATTTGCAGTAGTTGGCAAAGATTTGACCAGAAGGAGCCCACGCCTCCCTGAGAGCCTTTCTGAATGTATTGAAGGAGCCTCTTGGAAGACGTAGTCTTTCCGGAGTAATCTTCCGTCCACAATTGTGGTCGTGCTGAAGTTACTTCCAGCAAAGATTCAGAGAGATCGGAGGCTGAACCCAATTGATTGATGGACAAGGATTTGCCAATCAGAGCTGCACTGATGATCCTCCAATCCAGCTCCTCGGGTTCTTTTGCTACAGCAGATCTAAGCAAGACATAGACGGACTTGCGAACAAATGGATCGTCATGAAAGCAGAGGGACCACATCGATTTGCTATTCAGTAGATTCTCCACTGTTGTCAGATCCTTTCGGATATCTTCGTGAGTCGAATTAGCTGAATAAAGTCAGCACGGGTGAACGATTTTGGGAAATAATACACACACACACCTATGACTCGATTCAATAGCAGGAGAGCTGTTCCTACTACTCGAGCATACTTTGCCTCCGCATCATCAGGCTTCACTGTCCTTTCATCACTCAGTGTTTGAGGAGTTTGTTGCAGAATAACATCATCTACAAAGTCGAGAATTGCGCTCTGGTAGACTTTCCATACTCCGTTTCTTTTCTCTTCGGTTGTGA